CAATATACTGTACACGTAACCACCATCAATATACAGTACACGTAACCACCATCAATATACAGTACACGTAACCACCATCAATATACAGTACACGTAACCACCATCAATATACAGTACACGTAACCACCATCAATATACTGTACACGTAACCACCATCAATATACTGTACACGTAACCACCATCAATATACAGTACAACCTGTAATTAGAAACCAACAACAGTGAAATAATTTCTGATTAATTAAATATCTTTGGCTTCTGAATTATTTTTTTTATTAACACAAATATTTTACAGACAAATTATTTAAACATCACTTATTCATATTTAATTCAAATGTTACCTTTCAAAGGTTTATTACGAGATGTGGACGATAACACTAGCTAGAAACACTATTTGATAAAACATTATAAGCAGTTTGTATAATCGCTTAACTCAAGGTTACTCTACACTAAGTATGAGAGTCACGAGATAATTAACATGTATATTGTGGAGATTTTTGTCTTTAAACTATGGTCTTCCAGACTTAAGAAACACAAAAATTCCCGAAAAGGAAATAAAAGATCCATATTGCATCATGCAACCAGTGGTCTGCTGGTTAGAACTGTTGAGAATATTGTGGAAAAAAACAACTTTACAGAGTAGGAAAAATTAATGGATTTAATGTGTGCTTTCTCAAAAAAAAATTACATAATGCTTTAAAAAAATAACAAATTATATAAATCTGACACGAAATACAGGTACGTCAACAGGTTGTTGACGAAACCATTTTATGAGTAAGATATAACAACACGTACACAGACAATACCAGAATATTGAAAAATAACATCTTTTACCCTGTTCACATTTAAAATTAATTTATTTATGTTAATAGAAAATTGAATTTAAAACGTTTCACAAAAATAATATGTTCTTCAACTTCACATCTTTGATCTAGTCAACCAAGGAAAGTCCTGTAAAAGTAAAACAATAAAAAGAAATTAATTTCCAAAGGGAAGATTAAATTACTTAAAACAAAAGAAAAGTACTTGATTTTCAACATGAAAAAAGATTGAAAATATGTGTTATTATTAAGACGGAATGAGAAAAAACAACTCAGTTTGAATGGTGTTATCTATATATAAAGCATTACAAAAACTTTATTAGGCTTCACCTTTATTAGACTGCGCATCTTAAAATAATTTCGATACAAATAACTCTTCATTAATATACAACTAAATTTTTATATAGATTTATATCCATATTTCATACAAGTACATTGGTGACTTAAAAAGTGACAATATCTTAAGTTTCTACACTCAAACATTATAGTTCTGATATGAAAAAATAGAGTTTTGATTTTTAAGCCTCAGAAAATTTTCTTTGGTTAACACGTATTGCTTTTCATCACAATTCCTTTAAATTATATTCATTATACCTTTTGTTTGTTTTAGGCTTTTGCACAATGATACACAAGGACTATCTCCACCTAGCCATCCCTAATTTTGAACTGATTAAACCAAAGTAAAGACATTCAACAGCACCTAATATGAACTCGTGGGCTACTCTTATCTGTCACTCTTACAGACAGCCTCAAAATGTTTTATATAAGGCTGGACATGACGTAGTGGTTAACTTGTTTTATATAAGGCTGGACATGACGTAGTGGTTAAGATGTCTTAAATAAGGCTGGACATGATATAGTGGTTAACTTGTTTTATATAAGGCTGGACATGACATACTGGTTAACATGTCTTAAATAAGGCTGGACATGACGTAGTGGTTAACATGTTTATATAAGGCTGGACATGATGTAGTGGTTAACATGTCTTAAATAAGGCTGGACATAACATAGTGGTTAACATGTTTTATATAAGGCTGGACATGACGTAGTGGTTAACATGTCTTAAATAAGGCTGAACATGACATAGTGGTTAAGATGTCTTAAATAAGGCTGGACATGATGTAGCAAACCTAAATTTTGTATCTGAGGATTTTGTAAAAATATGCCTCACAAGTTAACCACTACGTCATGTCCAGCCTTATATAAAACATGTTAACCACTATGTCATGTCCAGCCTTATATAAAACATGTCAACCACTATGTCATGTCCAGCCTTATATAAAACATGTAACCACTATGTCATGTCCAGCCTTATATAAAACATGTTAACCACTACATCATGTCCAGCCTTATATAAAACATGTTAACCACTATGTCATGTCCAGCCTTATATAAAACATGTCAACCACTATATCATGTCCAGCCTTATTTAAAACAGGAGCTATCAGTGACATTATTGTTTATCATACACAGTCATTTGGCATTCAAAGAATATTTGATAACTAGATAGTAATATGTCGATTAAAAAACTTACAATCAAATAACATGTTCTATAAAGCTGTCAAAAGTTTTAAGCTTTAATCTTTGTATAAAAAGTAATAACTGATGATCAACATGAGTATTAAGCACCTGATAACCAACATAAACTAAAAATTAAGCAGATAATAATCAACTTCAAGTTGAGAATTAAGCAGCAACAATCAACTTAAGCTGGGTATTAAGCAACTGACAATCAGCTTAAATAAAGTATTAAACAATGACAATAAACTTTAAGTCAACAATGAAGCTACTGATAATTAACTTTAAGTAGAGTATAAAGTAACTGATAATCAATTTTAAATCAAGTATTAAGCAATGATAATCAACTTGTATTAAACAACTGATAATCAACTTGTATTAAACAACTGATAATCAATTTTAAATCAAGTATTAAGCAATGATAATCAACTTGTATTAAACAACTGATAAGCAATGATAATCAACTTGTATTAAACAACTGATAAGCAATGATAATCAACTTGTATTAAACAACTGATAAGCAACGATAATCAAGTATTAAGCAATGATAATCAACTTGTATTAAACAACTGATAATCAATTTTAAATCAAGTATTAAGCAATGATAATCAACTTGAGACAAACTTTAAGAAACCTTAGCTAACTCCACAATTATAAAGTGCCATCTTTTTAACTTGATCCATAAAACATGTATAAAAATGTCATTGAATAAGTTATTTTGGTAGTTTCATTAGCTAACAACCTTCGATTCTTGGTGTAAGGAATAACAAGTGATCTCCTTTTGGGAATATTACGTGCGAGTGTTTCTATTATACATTTCTAAATATGTCCGAAGAACTTTACATAACTAAGAACTTGTATTAAAATTAAAAACAAGAACAGGTCTATATAATTTAGTATGTTAAAAACTGACTTTTTCTGTTGTACAAAGAGTGTTAAAGGTGTTACCTGAGGTTTCCTTTGAGCATATGGGTTAATGATGACATTAAAAACTGACTTTTTTCTGTTGTACAAAGAGTGTTAAAGGTGTTACCTGAGGTTTCCTTTGAGCATATGGGTTAATGATGACATTAAAAACTGACTTTTTTCTGTTGTACAAAGAGTGTTAAAGGTGTTACCTGAGGTTTCCTTTGGGCATATGGGTTAATGATGACATTAAAAACTGACTTTTTTCTGTTGTACAAAGAG